ATGGCTGTGTTTCTTATTCGTCAGATGTCAATAATCAAGGCACAGCTGGAAAAAAAAAAGGTGCAATTGCTATGACCTGAGACTTTCAGACTGAACTCTTTAAAGATGTTCTTCCCCCTCCCTATCACCTTAGCACTACTTTTGGAAAGGATAGCAGTGCTCACAGTTAGGCCTCTAGCTTTGCAAGTTCAGGCATCCCAGGCTGTGCCTGGCCATGCTGGGCTCTTGGGCTGGTGGTGGTCACATAGTTGAATAGCCAGAACCCTGGACTGGGGGCCTGGTACTGCCAATGAACCCCCGACTATAAGGTGTGGGGTGGCAACAGGTGTGGGAAGAGGCCCAGTAGCACTAGCAGTTCAGCACATTGGCCAAAAGAGCCATTCTCTTCTCTGATCAGGAGCTCAGGGACACAGGACCATGGGTCCCTAGGATGTCCAAGCCAACCATCCTGTTCTGAGTGTTTTTTTTTTTTTTGAGAGGTTTTTGCTATAGGGTGCGTGCGCTCGCTAGACAGACAGAGAGACATAGAGACAGAAAGTGAGAAATCAAACCTCAGGGGGATGGTCATGCCACCACAACCCAACCTCCCGTTTTGTGGGTTTTTTTTTTTTTTTGAGAGGTTTTTGCTATAGGGTGCGTGCGCTCGCTAGACAGACAGAGAGACATAGAGACAGAAAGTGAGAAATCACCCCTCAGGGGGATGGTCATGCCACAATCCCTTCTCCTCCATTCTCCTCTTGGGATCTTGGGCACGCACGCACACGCGCCCGGCGTGAGTTTTAAGCCACCAGGTCCGGGACGTGAACCGCAGTCGACTACGTGGGAGTCCAGCGACATAGCCATTATGCTAATGGCTGGTTCCCCTGTTCTGAGTGTTTTTGAAAGCAAAACAGATGGATTCTTATGACTTAGGATCCTATCACCTCTCCTACCCAGGACACTTGAGAGCCAAAGGGATGTGGTGGTCAGGTGAACCTCCTGAAGGCAGGTGTATGGTCAGTTCTGATGTAGCCCACACCCCTCAGCATCTCTGGTCCACAGGCTGTAATAGAGTCTATCTCAGTTCTCTGAGCTGAGTGGGAGGTCTTGGTCAGGCCTGATTCCCAGGCATGAGAGGTAGGCAGAGCAAGGGTAAACCAGCCAAGACCACAGGGCAGAGTGCTACCCCAGGGACCATTCTTCAAGAGGGAACACAAACAAAGGTCCTGGCTACTCTCAGTTTAATGGTCTCCTGGGGCTTTTTTGGTGTAGTAAGAATATTTACCTCAGAGCCCTGGCTCTCCTCTAGCCCTGTTTAGATGCAGCCTATCACCATAACCATCTCCTCAGGACATGGCAGCTCTCATTTCTTGTCCAGCTTCACCTGAGTGGGTGGCAGTATGAGCCTCCACTTTATACTTCTAATCCAGGTCTTACAAATTTGGGTCTGTTTATGAGCTAAGTAGATAGTCTCTGAGGAAATGTGGATAGGATGACCTTCAGCTGCTTTTCAACATGAGCATCACACTTTACAAGAGGCTAGAAGGCCCCTTGGGGATTTCCTTGTTCCACTATCTTCATTATTGAGGAGAAGAAACAAGGCTTGACTGAGCTTTCCTGATTGTTTACTCAGAGAATCAGCTTTGCAGACTGGTGAGCTTTCCACACTGCATAGCCTCCTGTTATGAAGGAGAACTTTTTATTCGAATAGGCTTATGCAAAGCAAAATATAGTGCACAGTTGAGGAGTCCCCTGAGAATTTAGGGATTAAGATGGAAAAGAGACTGAGCCCAGGATTGCCAGGTCCCAAAGTCATGTTTCTGACTGGTATTCAGTATGGAAAGTGCAGGTGCACTCAGATTCACCAGCTTCTTTGTTTTGGACTTCTCGGAGCCTTTCTATGGAAATCTGAGTCATTACTCTGGGAGCACAGAAGAGTAGGAGGTAACATTCATCCAAATATTTCAACATACAATCTTTCCATCAAGGAGCAGCTCCAGGCAACAGCTCTCAGAGTCACTGTTCTATGTACTATGTTTCAGGAAACACTTATTCAAGAGAGACCCAAAGGTGGTACAAAATCAACATTCTCAGCTTGATTCTGCTCTGGTCTTTTGCATGGCCTTGGGTGTTCTTCTCATCCATTAGTGGCATGCTCTACCATGTAAAGTTCTGAGAGCATGAGAACACACTTGATCTTATGTTTTCCACCTGAGGTCCCCTTCATGGTCAGCCTATGGGAGAAGGAGGTGACTCCTAGGGAAAACTAGTGCCTTGCACGGAATACAACAATATTAACAATGGTAAATTAGGCCTTATTGAATGTACCTTATTGAATGTGCTGTCTCAGGTTCTCTTAGCCTCGCCTGTCTCTGAGACTCTTGATCCCCTTTTCTATCCCAACCAAACAAGTGGCTATTCTGACTTCTTCCAGACTCAGATGAAGTGCCAAGCTTCAAGGGTTAGGATCTAAATTTTCCAGTGGCTGCCAAGGGGGTCAGATGACACAAACTGGAAGTTCAGAATTAACTCCTCATGGGACAAACTGAGCAACAAGAGAAAGGAGATGGTGCGAGCCAGCATATAAATTTCCTGTCTCCCCTTTCTCTAGTGGACTGTTCTAAGGCACAGTGTTCTTTAAAGCAAGTCCACAGCTACCTCAGCATACTTTGGCCAAGTGACTGGCTGAGCTTTATGAAGAGAGGCCAGGTGGGTGACACATCATCTTGTATTACTTCCCATCCTTCCCTGCTCATTTTCTATTTTCCTTACCCTTGCCAAGCTAATATTGCACCTCCCTAAAAGTAAATGCAGAAACACTTACACTTTGCCTCATGGTTTGTTTACAGAGACCCCAGACTGAACCAGTATCAATAGTAACAACTAAAATTTCTTGAGTATTTACCATATGCCAGACACTGCTAAGTACTTGATATATATTATTTCATTTTATATTTCCAATAATCTTATGAGGAGAATACTGTTGCTAATCTACTTTAGTGATGAGAAAACTTAGACTGAGAGAGGATAGTTAACATGCCCAAAGTCATACAGCTAACCCATACGGTAATATTGAACATAATGCTTGACATAGAGTATGTCCTTTGTGCCATTAGGTGAATCGTTAATCATGTAATTCTCTTTCTCTTAGATTTATTTAATTTTATTTATCATTATTATTATTCTTTGATTGGTTAGGGCACAGGTGCATGAAAGATGAAAAGAAAGTGAGAAAGCAAACTGCCAGGTCCAGGACTCAAACTGCAGATGACCATGTGGGAGTCCAGCCTTAACCACTACACCACCTGCCAGCCCCCATCATATAATTCATGATAGCATCTTTTCTTCCAAAGTGTTTTTTCAACGGAATCACTGAATACAACCAAATAACCAGAGAAAAGACAGGGACCAGGAGCCACAGAACTCTAACTCTGTCATTTTCATCTGTTATGAGCTTAGCAGCAAGTTGTTCACCAGGTATGTCCTTTTTCCATCCGAAAATTGGAGATGAGCTCGTGCTATATGTAGTGCTTGACTATTATACAATTATTATATTTTTATGGTCTCATCAACCAATGCACTAGTAAGAGAGCCTTCCTATAGCTACCACTATCTCCCTCCCTCTCCCAAAAAATGCTTAGGTGAGGTGGGACAGTTCAAAAGATATTCAGTTAATTGCACTTGAGGGTAAGCCAGGTTCTGTTTATGATCCAGGACAAACAAGAGAGTTGGTGGTTCATAATTGAAACATAAATACAGAGGAAAATATATGCACTTGTTCTAATCTAGTTAGCTTGGGTTCAAGCTAAACAGCTGAAACTTCCTTTTTGAGAGCAGTATCACATCTTAAAGATTACACAACCATGGCGGCCACAGAGACGCATGAATGTGACTGTGACACAGTAGGGGAATAGGAACTATCTGAATCTCTGAAGTAGTAGAGTTTTTTTTGTACTTAACCCAGAGTTTTCATATATCTGTCAAGCTAGTTTGTTAAAAAGCAAAGGACCTGGGCCCCATGCTTCTTTTTGTGATTATTGAACACCTACTTTGTTTCAGAAACTATAGAGTAGTGAACAAAGAAAACATGAATCCAGTCATCAAGGTATCCCTTAAAGAATGCCCTGATAGTGAGCGGAGGTCTTAGGATTACAACTTCGAGTGAGGAAAAAGCAAGGTGAGTCATGATGAAGAGATCTGTCTCTTCATTAACTGCAAAGTTTAGCTTAAATTCTCTTAAAAAGTCAATTCATCCTGGGGCCAGTCCATGGCCTAGTGGATAAGAAAGCCAGATCCCACATGGCCAACCATGGTTTGAATCCTGGCTCCACTGGCTTGATATGTATGTATGTATGTATGTATGTATGCCCCGCGTCCCAAGGGGATAGAGAAATGGTGGAGAAGGAATCGTGGCATGAGTATTTACCATTAGTAGATGCTTTCTCCCTCTTGCCTCTTGCTCTTTCTCTTTCTCTCTCTGTCAAGTGCATGCGCTTTCTTTTCTTTTTTCTTTTTCTTTTTGCTATAGGGCGCATGCACTCGCCAGACAGACAGAGACCGAGAGACAGAAAGCAGAAAGCGAGAAATCACCCCCCCAGGGGGTATGGCCATGCCGCAATCCCTTCTCCTCCATTCTCCTCTCAGGATCTTGGGCATGCACGCACACACACCCAGTGTGAGTTTTAAGCCACCGGGTCCGGGACGCGGACCACGGTTGACTACGTGGGAGTCCAGCGACATAGTCATTACACCAACTGCTGGTCCCAAGTGCATGTGCCTTCTGACAGTTTTTAAAAAATTATAGAAACAGAACTCATCATTTGCCCTCATTTTTCTTAATGCTTATTCTTGAAGCACTTGCATCAAAAGCATCCAGTTTCCAGAGCTACTGAATACATACTTCTCCATGTGGAGACTCAGAATCTATAACATTAAGAAGCTCTTGAACGGCCTTTCTATGCCACTAATGTTTGGAAAGCTATCTTGGTCAAAGCTATAGGAGATCGCCACAGATGCCTTACCTGCTTCCTGGACAGGTGTGTCTGAGAGTGTTGTCAGCAGTATTTCACAAGAAGCCGAAGAGGAGTTGGCTCTGGGCAAGTCCCACCAGCTCAGCGCCAGCAATTCTGCTGATGGAGGGCAGCAGGGGGACCTGTGGAGGAGAGTGCAATCTCTGTGGAGAAACAGCAGCTGGCAGCACTGGCATCTGCTGACTTCTTCCCCTCAGGCTCCTCCTTATATAGGGCACAGGAGGTGTTGCGCCACCTTAGTTAAATAGTAACTCTAGCACCTGGACCTGCAGCTTCATGGAGAGAAAGGGGATATTGGCTCTTACCAGCAACAGCTTCCAGATCCTTCCCCTAAGCCTTTCTCTGCCTGGTTCTGCTTCATTTCCTGGAATCTCAAACTTCCTTGGTTGTATTATCATTGTTTCCAGATAAGTCAGGTTTTCTGTCTTTATTCTGCTTCAGAGTTGATGTTTCTACAAAACCCCTCTAGGATCACAGAGCAAGGTGCTGAGCAAAGATTCAGAGAAGTAACTTTTGTTTATGCTATTTACCTAAGAAAACTGTTGAGGCAAAGTATGTAAGGTAAAAGATTTAATTTGGCCAGGGTGGAGGATGACACCTAGCCACTATGAAATTCAAGTTACCCTGAATGATGTGTGATGTTTTTACAAATTTCAGGATGATTTTTTTAAAAAAAATTACTATAGGGTGCATACACTGGCCAGAGAGAGTCAGAAGTGGTAGAGGAGTTGGTGGGGGAGTGAGAAAACCCCACACTCTCAATGGGGATGGCTATGCTACAATCCCTTCTCCTCCATTCTCTTCTTGGGAGAGATGTTGGGCATGCATGCACATGTACCTAGCATGTTTTCCAAGCCGTAGTGTCCAGGATTCACCATGCTGTTGGCCATGAAGGATCCAGCTGTCTTAACTATCATGCCACTGCCTGGCCCAGGATGATTTTAAAAGCAAAACCCATGAATGAGATGGGATCATGCAATTTTTTGTCAAAGCTTTACACTGGTCAAAAGCTACGGCAAGAGGTTTTGCACAGCAATGATTGACTACATACTGGAAAAGGGGAACAGGATGACTGGAGACAGCATGCTTAATCTCAAATGAAAGTGTGGAGAGTGAGTCTAATGCATTGTTGCAACCGCTGAGAAATACACACATTTGAAGGTTATAGTACATACAAAGATATATGTAACTTGGATTCCATGTTTCCCTGGGTCAAAAACTTACAGGTCTCATATGTCTTGGGCCAACTTCGCTTCCTTTCTCACTCCCCCTATTTGATCCAAATCTGTTTTCCTTGAAATCATTGATGACCAATATTTCAAATTGCATGTCCCTCGTCATTGGGAAGGCTTGATCCCAGATGGTTCAAATCAGGTGTTCCATGTAGAGAGGAAAGAGGTGTTTGTGGTAGAAGCACTAAGTCCAAAATAAAAGGCAACACAGTGTCACAGAACAATGGAATCCCAGGCAAGTTTTAATGGTTACAATGGGGCTGTGGCATTTTGGGATCATTTAAAAATACCAAGCTATTGTAATTTTAGTTTTAGATGCCAATTTTAAACACCTGGAGATACAAAACACAATTACTTGACTATAGTGAAGATAACAATACATACAAGATTAAGATAACATTTTGTAGTCCTGAATGAAAAAGAGAGCCTAATCCTGGAGGTGACCCACCAAAGAGACCATGTAGGGGATCTTCTTTTCTCACAAATCATAACCAGTTGGCCCTTTGGATAATCCTATCAGCCAGTTGTTTGTTTCTCCAGAAGTGTTAATAGAGACATAACAAGAAGGGTTAGCAATAGCGTAACTAAACATTGTTGTTTCGCTAGCAAGAGGCAATTTTATCATTTAGCATCCTGCAACAGTTTAATTAAAGTAGAGAGTAACAATTCACAAGTTACCTGCAGAAGCTGCTGATTGTAAAATTCCAACTAAAGTAGTTTTTGCCATATGAAAGATAAACATAAGTAAGAAAAATCTTGGGAGGGATATGAGTGTGGTAGGAAGTGTTGCTTTGATTTCTTTGGACTGGTTGTCCACAACATGAAATTGGCAACTTCTCAACCCAGTTAGTAGTTTGAAGGTCTCTGGTTGAACTTTCCACGTGGTCCACACACCAGGCATGAGATTTGTCCCTTGAAATTTACCTTGAGTTGTCCAGCCTTAGTTCAAGAACTGGACAGCTTTTGTTCTCGGTTTGAAAGTTGTAGCTAGATATTAGAGAGAAGTGGAAAAATTTAGAAAAAAAACCCTCAAAACCAATAAATAATGCTTTAATCTAATAACAGGTATATTGTAGTTTTTCTTCTGAAATATATTTTTTCCTGATACGTTTACTCTCATTTCACCAAATATAATCATGGTAAGAACAATTTATTTATAAAATATATTTAGTCTCAAAATGACTTGATTAATTGCATAGTGCAGCAGGTTGACCTTAGTCAAACTTGATTTTTTAAAAGAAACTTCAGATTAAACATTTAAATCTCTCCACATTAGGAAGCCAAACCTTTCTTTATTAAAACTGTATCATAACTTTTTTCTAAGTGTTCTTCATATGCAATTGGTTTTCTTATTCCTATTAGTCTTTAAATATAGATATTAATTATAATTTTAATTCTTGGTAACCCTATTTTCCAGTGAAGACATAGAAAGCAAGCAATATTTGTCAGACATGTACCAACAACTTATGAATATGCATATTATAATTTTCAGAAACATAAACTTTTTGCGGAATAAGGTTTTGACATAGAACAAGGCATATTTATTTATTTATTTAATTTGCCATCAGGCATATACACTTGCTAGAGAGAGGGGTAGGGGAGAGGGAGAGAAAGTAAAAAAAAAAAAGCACTCCCCATGGGGAATGGTTGTGATTTTGATCACACATACGCACTTGCATATTAAAGTCTTTTTTTTTTTAATCAGTATGTCAAATTACAAGTCCCTTGTCATTGGGAAGGCTAGTTCTCAAATATGTCAGATCACATGTCCCGCATATGGAGAAAAGTCCAAAGTCCGAAATAAAAAGCAACACACAGTTACAGAACAATGAAGTGCCAGGACTGTTTTTCAAGCTGGGTCTGGGACTTGAACTGTTCAGTTGGCCATTTTGGATCCAGCTGCCTTAACCTCTACACCATGGGCTGGCCTGACATGTTTATTAATAGACCCAAATCCTTAGTTCCTTTATAATTAGAAGCCAAAAACAGATATGATAAACCTTAAGTTTATTAATTAATGTTCTAATGCATAATCTAGATACTCAATGAAAATGTGTCATTGAATTTCATCTAGCAAAACTCTAAGGTATAGTTACCAAAGAGATTAGAAACCTTTAAGTAAACATTATAAAACATTATTTTTTAAAGTTCCTTTATAAGCTTTTATCCCATTTGTATTTTATTCAATTTACTTATTTTTGATGATCATGTTCAGAAAATTTATATGAGATATCAGATAAGGTTAGTCTTCATAAACCAACAAACAGCTTAGCCATCAAGCTATATGCCCTTTCCCCCCTTTTTTTGGCTATCACCAGGGGATGATTATAAAAACAAAAACCTTCCAGTGGATCTGAAAGTCAGCCATATAAGCTTTTTTTCCTTTCTTTCTTTTTGAATATAATGTTCTTTTTAGATCAAATGAGAAGGCAGAATATTTTGTATGTGTGTGTGTATGTGTGTGTGTGTGAGACAGTGAGTGAGAGAGAGAGAGAGAGAGAGAGAGAGAGATGTTTTTTCCCTTGAGCTAAAGGAATTTATGAGTCCCTGTGAGCTGCTAACACAAATTCCCATCTTGGGAGGAGCCTGTTGTGCCTTCTGGAATCCTTGGCTGTCAAAGGAAGTTGGCAGTATATTTTTGATGGAAATGCCTGATTAAAACTCTGTCATCTGTAACCTGTTTGTTGTTATTGCTCTTGTTCTCATATTAGGGAGTAGATTTTTGGCTAAAATGAAAATCAAGAACTTTCTCTGTTTTGAGTTTGAAAAAGAGTTTAACTTCACTTGAATTTTGATCTCTGCTCAACTGCTCCTTAGCCTGTTCTCTGAATGCTTGCACTGCAGACATGGCAAGTCTTACATCTCCAAGGGACTAAAGCACTAAGGAAGTTAAGGAATTCTTTCACAGGTTTCTGTGGCAAGGGAACTGCAAGAGGGTAGTAAAATTTACTTTGAGATTCCTCTAGTCATGCTAGTGCTCTTCTGAACTGGCAAGAAGCTGTTCCTTAGGGGGGCAGGTTCATGTTCTACATCTGGGAAGACAGGAAAAAGGTTGGAAAGTTCTCCTACATTTTAACTCACTGCAGTTCAATGAAACCTTTGGTATTATAGTGAAAACATTTTGTTTTTCTCTTGGCCTCTCTTAGAAAATGTACTTTTTAAAGAGTTTCACTTTTAGCTTATTGTCCTATATCATATTGCATCACTGTAAAAGGGTGGATAAAAGCAGAGAGTAACAAGGAAGAAGACGATTATAAGAAGAAGAGGTTAAAAGGAGCTGAAGTGACGATACCTACAAATGCAGCACTGTTCACAACAACCAGGATGTAGAATCAACCTAAGTGCTCAATAACTAATGAACTGATAAAGAAAATGTGACATATATACACTATTCAGTCATAAAGATCAATGACTTCCTGTCATTTGAAACAAAATTGATGAACTTTGAACATACTATGCTAAGTGAAATAAGTCAGGCTATGAAAGACAAATACTGTATGTCCCCACTTAACAAATACCAAGTGTCCTCACTCATTAGTGGTAGCTAAAGGACCCTCACAGCTTAGAAGCAGAGACAGGAATGGTAGAGAGTAGATGCTGGATGGGGATGGCAGTTAGAGGAATGGGAAGGAATTGGTAAAAGACACAAGATGCATGTGAATGATGTGGGAGTGCAGGTTTTGGGACAGTATATCACAATAAAGAATGTCAGTGACAATGTAATATACACTTAAAAAAACCCAGGAGAATGAATTTTGAATGTGCATAACATAATGTAATATGGTGGTGAATATGTTTATGTCCTTGATTTGATTATTATATACCAACTATGTGGTTTAAAAGAACATACTGTGCTTTACAAAGATGTATATAAACTTATATAAATCAGAAATTATAATTTTAAAAAAGCAAACAAACTCAGAGATATTTTTAAAGTTCCAAGTGGCCAACACAGTTTTAAATCATCACATGTAATTTTGGTCCATCTTAACAGAAGTTTACAAAAAGAAGGTTTTATTCATAAGTTACCTGATGAGAACTGAAGCTGAAAAACACCTGTAAGAATCTGCTTATACAAGACTTGGGACCTTGAGCCTGAGGCAGGGCAGAAAAGGCAGAACTATCAGGTGCCTTTCATTGTCATATGGAAATCCCACCTTTCCCTGTGACAGAAAGAGGTGACAAGGAAATCTTCCCTACTTGTGCTGTAATCTACTCTCTTGTTTAAAAAGAAAAGGTTGAGAAGGCAGGACTCTTTTCTTATTCCTAGGAAATGAAGAGTAAACAGTCCAGACAAAATCCATTTATCTTATTTAAGATCTCAACAAGAAAGGGAGATTCTAATTCCCCTTACACCCAGCAATTCTTAGGAATTGAAAGGGTGTATGCTGATACCAAATGCCAAGTCCAGAGGAAACATTGTGTGGTCAGGTGTTGGGGTTGGGATAGATCACTGAATCTTGATGGCTGTTCCAGAAATGTCAACCTAAGAAAACTGCTGAGTCAAATTAAGTAAAGCAAAAGATTTTATTTGAGCCCAGGTGGTGGACAATGCCCAGACATTACTAATCTGAGGTATCTTGAGTAATGTGTGCCAAAGTCTAACAGATTTTAGGATGGCTTTAAAAGCAAAGTTATGAATGGAATAGGATTACCATATTGTTTGTCAAAGCTTTATGCTGGTCAAAAGCTATAGCAAGGGTTTTTGCACAGCAGTGATAGGCTAAATACTAGATACGGGGAACAGGATGACTCCAGATAACATGCTTAATCGCAAACAAAAGTGTGGAGATCAAGTCTAATGCATTGTTGTACATGCTGAGAAATAGTAGATACAAAGGTTATAGTAGACACAGAGATACATACAACTTGGGATTTCATGTCCGTTGTTCTCCTTGGGTCTAAAATTTTATATGCCTCCTATTTCTTGGGCCAGTTTTCCTCACTTTCTCCATGTCTCATTCGCATTTAGGAAAGAATGACTGCCATGTCTTCCATGTCAACAGCGGCCACTCAAAGTAAATCACATCATGTGCTCTTTCTGCTGGAAAGGGCATCTTTCTGCAAACAGATTGCAGAACACCTTAATCCCTAGGCTTGGCGAGACCCAGAAAAGGTCTCTACATCATCCCTACTTAACAGATGGGAGAGAAACAGGCACAGCATGGAAGGACATGTTTCCTGATTCTAGAACTCTGTTCGAAAAGTTTACCCTATGTTATGGAAGATAATGACAAAATAGGTAAAACGGGAAACAATGGGGAAATTATCAGAAACTAGTATGACGGTCCATCTCTAAGCTAATGCAAGTAGAAAAAGATGAGGAGGGATCAATTACTTGACTAGAAGTGGATTTAATTCCCAGTTGTACAATTTTGATCTTTACGACCTGAGCAAGTCTCTTCCTCTATGAGTCTTAGTTTACTGATCTGTAGAGTAAGGATTACTACACTTGCCCTGTCTGCCTCATGTTTGTTTAGTGGAATGTCTGTTCTCCAGTGCACACCCACTATTAGAATTTGTACTGCAAATAGTAAGTAACACACACACCTGCACACTATTATATGAATGTAATTAATGAATAAATATGCATACGCTTGTTTAGAGAGGCAATCAAAAAAATTGAAACCTATTGTTTCAGGAAAAAAAATGGTGAGAAAATGCTTTAGAAAGAGCCATATGAATATTTTTGGACATGATGCCTTAAGAAAAATAGTTGGGAGTTGTCCTAGTTAAACAGAGGGTGGTTTTTGTCTTCTCTCATTTCATAAACTAAATTTTTCTTCTTAAGAGCAGAAGTCTTGTCCCTAGAGCAATGTTTGGGCATAATGAGTTAAAAAGGGAAATACCTCCCAATGGAGTCTTTGTGCCAAGAGACAGTCACTATGGGTGACAACTGTGTTGAAAGATGGGTCAGGTGAAAGAGTCTGAAACCATGGAGAGCAGCTGTGGATATCAGAGACAGTATGGGAGGAGGG